AGCACATTCCTGGCAGCGAGGTCCCTGTGGACAAAGTTATGCTCCTCCAGGTACTTCATCCCCATGGACACCTGGTGGACCAGCTCTGTGATGTTCTTTACACCTGTTTGCCTGTAGATGATCAATTGTTGTTTCAACAATGAAAGTCACCATTTCAAACTGAACTAATATAAAATAGCAAAATATAAGATAAAAAGTCAATCCTGGTCCAGTATGCAACTTCTACAACGGTTATGTAGAAACTTGAGGACACTCAGAATGGACTTTACAGTGAAGTAGGAGACATCTTGTGTCCAGCAGGAAAACTTGAAATTAACAACATTTGCATATTCAGAGATTTTAGATAGATATAGACATATATTCCTTCTGAAATATTTAATGAGGTACCAGGAGTGGATGACTTCTTAGGGTTTTAATGTGGAAATTATACTTAATGATATTATAATTTTTGCAGAGAAGACGCACAGTATTGTTCCAAGCAGACTATTTGTATATATATCTTAAAAGGTCCAGTGTGTAGGATTTATTGGCATCTAGTGGTGAAGTTGCAGATTGTACCTAACTGAACACCACTCACGTGTGTATTGGACGAAGTGGGAATGAGAACGGGCGAAAAACACGAAAGCTATGACAAATTTGACCAAATTGACAATGACTAAATCTAAAGACATTTCCTGTTTATTTTGTTTTTGTTAGTACACAATATTGTTTCAAAATGTTTTTACTGGTTTTTACTTTTATTTCAGTTAACTAAAGTGTTTTTACTCACCAAGTTTTAGTTGAGATTCTGTTAAAAATAACCTTGGTGTGTATCATGATGTCACTATAGAAATGAATGTGAAATAAGCTACCGCTCCAGACAAAGACTAGGATCCAGGTGGAGTACATACTTGTTCTTCTGCAGGAACTTGTTGAGTGGTCCCAGCTCAGCCAGCTCCATGACCAGCATGAGGTTCTCTGCCTCACAGATCCCAATCATCCGGACAATGTAAGGATTGTCCAGCTGCTGCATGACATTGGCTTCTCGCAGCATTTCCTCACGCACTGATGGATTGTTATCGTCATTCTTCAGGATTTTGACTGCAACTGGCTTCTCTGTCCTGATACACAGGGAGGGCTAGTGTTAGGATGACTGTGTCACCTAATTTATATTGACTTTACAACATATAATCAGTAACAGGGTTTTGGGTGAAATAAGGTTGGTACACAAACTTCAGTACGTAAATACAGAGTGTACAAGTGAGATAAAGGTTGTTTAAGTGGATTCACATTGTGGAGTAGACAGTGAGAGGTATGACAGATGTAAATCAGCTCTCTAGATAAAGAAGTTATTTTAATCCTCTTGGTCTTTCACTCAATATATTTACAAAATATTTTCATTGAAGTAAAACTACTGAAAGAAAGTGAGGAATGAGGACTGGAGTTGAGTAAGAGTTGAGAAGGCTTAGAGCTGTGGAATGAGCCTCTGGCTCTGTGAAGTAAAGCCAATGCGGAAGGGTCTTAAACCGGTATTTTTTCCATATATACATATATATATATATATATATATCTCAAAATCTCAACCCACTTCTCACAACAGTACAGGACAGTACAGGACATATATATATATATATATATATACTACTGTGACAGTCTAGAAGAAATATTGATTCCTAAATATGTGATGTTACCAATGTGCAGAGAGAAGGGTAGTGTGTGGGCTGCCCCACAATAATAGTCCCAACTATTAGGGCTTAGTGGAAGAATGAAGGTGGAAGTTTTAACGGATGGCGGCTGCAAGTGTTTCTATGAAGATGGCGAATAATGATGGAGAGAGTGGGCATCCTTGCCTAGTACCCCTGTGCAAAGTGAAGCATTGTGATATAAATCCATTGGTGGTGATAGTGGCCATTGGTGAATTCCTTAAATCCTTACCCAGTGAATTAATAATTCACTGAAACCAAATTTTTTAAATGAAGAAAATAAGAATTCCCAATTAACTTTATCAAATGCTTTTTCTGCATCTAGTGAGACTATGTGGGAAGTTTAGATTTCTGTTTAATTTGATCTGCTAGTTGCTTGAAAATGGGGGCTAGAATGTTGTGATTATAGAACTCAGCAGGGAAGCCATTAGGTCCTGGTGATTTATTGTTGGGCATGGATTTGAGTGCATTATGGAATTCTGATCTTCAGTTAGTTGCAGTAGATTAATTTTGCTTAGGAATGAGTGAATGTCTTCTTGACTTGGTTTACGAGTTGAGGAGTATAGATTGGTATAAAAGTCTTTGAAGGTGTTATTTATTTCTTCAGGTGACTGCATGATCGTCCCTACTGAGTTCATAATCACTGGAATTGTTGTTTTTTCCTTGTTTCACTTGATTTGGTTGGCCAGGTATTTTCCAGATTTATTGCTGTATTCAAAGTTTTCGTTTCTAAGTCTAGATCAGGATCTCGTAATTACGAGAAAAGATCTCGTAATTACGAGATGAGGAAAGGTGC